ATAATTTCTTTCTGTGTATATTTATTCGTTCAATTCAACGTTGTCTTTGAAAATATTGAAACAGCGTAATTCCTTTCCCGATTTCAACCATTATCTTTTTCTAAAACAATTTCCTGAGAGAAGCTTAATGTCTGTTTCTATTCCGACTTGAATTTCTCGCATTGTTTATTTCTTTTCGTGTTTAAAATAGCTCAAACATAATGTAGAATATTAGTGGAATAATGCCGTCCATTTCATAATTAGTCTGGGATACGCTTGGTACATCCATTATTCATTAAGACTGACTATATCCACACGCTCCTCAAAATGGATTCTCTCTATTACACCAAACTGAAAAAAAAATATTAAAGAATTAACTATTTGAATACCGAGTAACATCCATTTTTCTAAGTTCCGATTCTAGACATTTTTCCGAATTTTAAAATTATGTTAGTTTTTACATACCAGTTGATTGATTTTCAAAATCAATAAATCTGTTTTGTGTTGCGTAGTGATTATAGTTACAAAAAATTGAATTTGGCTTTACGAGTTCAAACTCTAGAAGGTATTTTGATTTTTGCACACATGTTATTTTAATTAAATTTTCAAATCAATTTATACTTTTGAATTTATATTGTGACCTATTTCTATTTGCTTCTGCTTTAACTTTCGTGTTGCTGATATCAATTTCATAGCATTTACAAGTTTATGGCTTTTATATTTTGAAACAATTTCAATCTTCGGAAAAATTTGGAAACATTCAAACGAGACACTTTATTCTACGGATGCTAAAAGTTAGTAATTCCTCTCAGATTATAAGCGCTTTTCAGGCGATAGAATTGAACAAATGCAACAAGCTGTCTCTTCTACTCCAACAGCATCATGACTCGCACTTCTTACCTGTGAAACTCACTCCCCTTTTCTTGTTTTCCTGATAGCTATAATCTCCAACTATTCAAATGTAATGTCAATCGACGTCTCTAGATGCCTTGATCTATCCCCTATCCTTCTCTTCATCCTTTCCTCTATCAATCCTCTTTGCTCTCGCTCCAACTCTCTGTAACTCCTTGCGTGCTAGTGGCTTCCCCACTTGCTTGGGGTGAAACGCTTCAAAAAAAAGTATGCTAGTAAATACATGAATCCTTTCTTTCTCCTCTACATGACCAGGGATTAATTCAGTCGACTAGCTTTCATGAAAAATCAAACTAGTGTAATATCGTAGATGTAGAATAGAGACTTTTTAAGAATTAAAAAGAGTAATCATCTCCTAAGCAATAAACAGGCTAAGAATCTGTTTCAAGTATATCGTATTTCTAAATATATGATATATTTTAAAGTGTCATTTAACGTTCCCATTAATCCACAAGAAAAAAAGTAGTAGCAAAATGTTCTAGTTGTTAATGGGTAGACAATGCTGATTACTATTTGTAAACAAATGCTTTCATTGACCTCTGGGTGAGTACTTAAAAATCGTTTGTGGAAGGACAATTCTAGTACGTGCGTTCGGGTATAACAGCATAATTGTAGTTTGAAAAAAATAAAAAATAAAAATAAAAACTAACGTCATGGATGTCCGTACGTAAAAAGAGACTCGTGGGGAAACCTTTAAGTTATTAACCTCTCGGGGAGACATTCATCTCAGTTTTTTTCTGTTTTTTTAGTCTGTAGCCAATGCTGATTACTGCTTATGAACAAATGCTTTCATTAACCTCTGAGGGAGTACTTAAAAATCGTTTGTGGAAGGACAATTCTAGTACGTGCGTTCGGGTATAACAGCATAATTGTAGTTTGAAAAAAATAAAAAATAAAAATAAAAACTAACCTCATGGATGTCCGTACGTAAAAAGAGACTCGTGGGGAAACCTTTAAGTTATTAACCTCTCGGGGAGACATCCATCTCAGTTTTTTTCTGTTTTTTTTTTAGTCTGTAGCCAATGCTGATTACTGCTTATGAACAAATGCTTTCATTAACCTCTGAGGGAGTACTTAAAAATCGTTTGTTGAAGGACGGTACTATTTAGTAGCAAGACTCGTTCCAGTTATAAAAGCTGAACTAGTGATATTAAAGAATGGAATTATTCTGAAGATTTGCCAACTATTACTTCAACACTTCACTTTTGTTGTCTATGTCGTTGGTTGATTATATCCATGAGCTATCCCGATTCTAAGTCAACACCGGGTTCAAGCAATATAGTTTTACATACGTCATTTAAATTACTCGTGCGAAATCATTATCTTGTAGAGTAAGCTATTGATTCAAGGTTACACAATGTAAAGAGTAACAGACTTAATTAACAACTTGTGAATCACATGTGCTATTCCGAAATTATTTTTTTTTAAAACTTACTGAACGAAGTAAGGGGAAAGCTATAAGAGCTCATTAATCAAATTCATGTTAAGTTACCAGATACATGTCAACCATCTTAACTATTAAGGTCGATGGAAATGAAAGAGGCTGTCGATTTCAGCTATTTTAAAGATAGTTTTCTCTAGAAATTACAAAATCCTAATTGACAACGCCGTTTGTTTTCCCAAAGGTAGAGGGGGATAGAAATAGAAATAGAAAGAGAGAATATAGGAGAGATACTAATCTCAATGTTCCGAGTTAATGAATGTCAAGGTCAACGTCGCTACAATAAGTAAGCGACTGCCTTTTAAAACAATCATTTTTGGAAGCACTGTTCTCGTCCACTCGTTTGTGATTTAGGCGCAGTGCGTTAAGATTGGGACTCGTTCAATGCATCGGATTAAAGGCGCTATCAGATTTGAGGAACACACTGCCCCACAATTAAAGAGAGAGAGAGAGAGAGAAAAAGAGAAATACAGAGAGAGACAAAAAATAAATGAAGAAAATGAGACATCTATCTCAGATTTTTTTTCTGGTTGTTTAGTGTGTATCCAATGCTGATTACTGATTGTAAATAAATGCTTTCATTAACCTCTGGGGGAGTACTTAAAAATAGTTTTTGGAAGGACGATTCTAGTAAGAGCGTTCGGGGATAACAGCAGAATTGTAGTTAAAAAAAAAAAAAGGAAAAAAATTAACCTCATGGACGTCCGTACATAAAAAGAGACTCATGGGGAAGCCATTAAGTTATTAACCTCTGGGAAAGACATCCATCTGAGTTTTTTCTGGGTTATAGTGTGTATCCAATGCTGATTACTGATTATAAACAAATGCTTTCATTAACCTCCGGGGGAGTACTTAAAAATAGTTTTTGGAAGGACGATTCTAGTAAGAGCGTTCGGGGATAACAGCAGAATTGTAGCTAAAAAAAAAAAAGGAAAAAAATTAACCTCATGGACGTCCGTACATAAAAAAGAGACTCGTGGGGAAGCCATTAAGTTATTGACCTCTGGGAAAGACATCCATCTGAGTTTTTTCTGGGTTATAGTGTGTATCCAATGCTGATTACTGATTATAAACAAATGCTTTCATTAACCTCTGAGGGAGTACTTAAAAATCGTTTGCGGGAGGACGATTCTAGTACGCGCGTTCGGGCGTAACAGCAGAATTGTACACTACTTACATTATTCGGACTATAATTCTCATCTTTGTAGCCATGTTTATCATAACGTTTCGGCCGTTGTACGCTCCGGTCTTCTCCAGGTGGTTGGAATGTCGAACAGAACCCTTTATTTCGCTCACTGGGGTAGACTGTTCTAGTTCCACGTGCCATAGGACATATGGGACAGTGGATAAAAGCGTTAGTTAGATCCAGTGACAGGACCCAAAGAGTGTGAGTTCAATACCTGGTTAAGTCAGTGGAGAACTTTCAGAGGGGAATTAGCAGGAGATAAATGACATCCATTAGACATGGCACGTAGAACTAGAACAGTCTACCCCAGTGAGCTAAATAAAGGGTTCAGTTCGATATTCCAACCACCTGAAGAAGGCCGGAGCGTAGAACGGCCGAAACGTTGTGATAAACATGGCGAAAAAGATGAGGACAATAATTCGAATAATGTAAACAGTATACGTAATACCTCATCTCAGAAATATAGACAGATACCACAGAATTGTAGTTTGAAAAAAAAAAAGAAAAAAAAAAACTTACCTCATGGACGTCCGTACGTAAAAAGAATCTGGTTGGAAAGCCATATTGTTTTTAGGCTGGCAAATTAACGTAAAATCACGGCGACCACGAGATTTGAGAAAATATAAATATGCAGTGTACGAAAGACGTGGGGGAGAAAAGGAAGTTAGTCTACAAACGACCAGACAATACGACAAATGTAACATCAAGAATGTCTTCAGATAGCGCCTCGTTCAATTTATTGGATTTAATGAAATTTGCCCCCACCACTTTTAATGGTTTAAATTGACTAGTTACTGTAATTCTTCGCTCAATTGCCATGTTTCTATTTGAGACATTCAAATAGTTTGTTTGCCTCTCTTTCTAATGTTAATCTTTTCTCTCCGTTTAAATTCGTGACTGTAACTATCTATCCGTGCTGGTCGATTCAATTGTCTGTTATGCGTTTCCGTTTTTCTTGAGTCGTTTGGGTGGGATTATTTAAAGCCATTTTTTTCGTGTCGCCGCTCAATATTACTTTCGATTTTTCTTTATGTTTATATGTTAAGTTTCCACAATGTTCAGAGTTGATTTCAGGTCGCACTCATATCTGGTCATCTCTTGGCATTAAACTATTAAACATCTCTCCATTAGTCCCATGACGTTGAAGTTTTGTTACGCAGCTGAACATCTTGTAATCTCCCTACACATGCCTCCGTACGCATTCATTCCCGTGACGCGGGTCAGGAGCGAAAAAGAGCAGGTGAAACTAATCCCTGGGCATGGATTTAAGATCTATAAAAATCCTTATTTATTCAATATTTAAAAAATAAAATCTAATGATTAGGCTATGATAAATATGGAGTACATGTTTAACAAATGCATATGTTTCTACTAAAACGGAAAAAGAAGATTCATTTCGTATTTTTATTATATGAATATCCTGTAGATTTTAGCAATATCTGATTGGGAGAAGCTAATTTTTTATGAAATCTGAATTGAATAATGACACCTAATATATCTATCTATCTATCAGTATGTCAATCTATCTATCTATCTATCTATCTATCTATCTATCTATCTATCTATCTATCTATCTATCAGTATGTCAATGATTTATTACTTTCTGATCATATCTATCTATCTATCTATCTATCTATCTATCAGTATGTCAATGATTTATTACTTTCTGATCATATCTATCTATCTATCTATCTATCTATCTATCTATCTATCAGTATGTCAATGATTTATCACTTTCTGATCATATCTATCTATCTATCTATCTATCTATCACATCAATTCAAATTTATCTATCAAGATTTATTCAGATTCATGTATCTATCAAATTCTATTCTGATATAACTGTCTATTTCTCTGTCGCGTTTTATTCATATCTATCTATCTATCTATCTATCTATCTATCTATCTATCATGGTAATTTACCCATGCACGATGGACTCTACCAGCTATAAATTGGAGCAAATACTGCCTTTTGGAGGGGGAAGTTTCCAGCAGCCATCTCTAAAAGTCGGACCGAACATTCTTGCTGTAACACTCTCGTTTGTATATTTTTGTATTGCTGTTTCTCTCTATATATTTAACTTAATTGCTCACTTCGTGTCTTTATTTCTGGCTCTAACAAGGCCACAACACTATCTATCTATCTATCTATCTATCTATCTATCTATCTATCTATCTATCTATCTATCTATCACATTCTATGTATCACATGCTATTAAACATATCTATCACATTCTATTCAGATCTATCTCTCATATTATATATATATATATATATATATATATATATATATATATATATATATATATATATATATATATAATGTGTGTATGCATGCATTTTGATCCATGCATGGCAAAAATAAAACCTTAATAATATTTAAACAATGAGAACATTAATTATGTCTGTCGGTTTTTACAATATTAAAGATTATAATTTAATTTTTAATGGACATCTCAATGACGCCATTACATTTTTCTGATTCTAATCAACATACCGAAAAGCAAGAAACACGTCGGCAATCAATTATCAGCAAGCTAGACGTCTTCATTGAAGAAACCTAAAATAAAATATTTGATTTTCGGCTTGTGATTTCCAGTGACGGTTATGTCTTCTTTCTTTATGTCTATAGAGATACACAAAATGTACACTCAGAATTAAATCGTCCAATCGATTTGATAGAAAATGACATTAAGCGATAATAGTTGTAATGTTTTCAGACATTTTAATGAGCTGTAATGATGACTGATTTTTACTTTATAACAATAAAGAGACTGTCATTGTGTTTCGCTATTCAGTTAAGATACAAGTTCAATGGAAATTTTATAATACGCAAGCCTGTTGCATTACAGATTATCATAAAAGCGATTAGGCTGAAAAGTTTTTGGAATTTTGAATATCTATCGTCTTTAGCCTAAGCTTAGTAATGTGTGCAAGCATTAGATAAAAATATGAAAAGAAGTCAAATATATAAACGTATGTAATAAATTAAAATTTTTAAAGTAATTTACGTCATAGTTTATTTCAAGGAACCGCGAAAACTATACATTTTTACTATATTATTAATATATATATATATATATATATATATATATATATATATATATATATATATATATATATATATATATATATATTGTCAGGCACAGCGTTAACAATTTAACAAATGCACTAGTCATACATAGAAATAAATTCAACTACTATTTTGATTTTATAAATGCTATCCTCATAAAAAAGAAAATAATTCACTGAGAAGCAAAATCTTCAAGAGTGCCGCCATTGAATATTATCCAAATATTAATTTACGCCCAGGTTTTCTTCCCAGTATCACCTTTCGTAACAGATCACTACTCTCCCAAGCCAACGTAGTAGGTATTTACTTGACTCCCACAAGGTCAAGATGTGACACAAGGTCGATTAACGTGGGAAACCCGAGTGTTTCCACTCAAAGGCCACTGGTCAAAATTGGTCATAGCATGTCCAAGCTGGTCAGAGCTTAGTCAAAGCTGGTCATGACTTGTCCTAGCAAGCTAGTCGAAGCCTTGATCGAATCTCAGCCAAAGGCAAAGAAACGATCCAATAATTGTCAAAACCCCCAGCATAACGCCAGGTAAGTATACAAGCCAACGTAGTATACAACAAATATATAAAGAAATCAAAAGAAGACAGTTGAATCCGTCAATACAATACAAACAATATTTCTATATGTGGAAATATGCGCTTCAAACAAAAAGTAATTGTCATTTTGTTTGTGTATAGAATCTTTGTTTCAAAAAATTAATTTTGTTATTGTCTTGAAATATGGACAATCATTTTGGTATTTGCAGTCTAAAGATAGTGTCAAATTCCCTGCCGTCTTTGCGTTCTAATGGTCAATCGGCAATTCATCAGTAGAATCCCCAACGCTGCATCTACAAACACAATCAAGTGTTCTTTTCACTCGCTATATTTTTGTGTGGTGGGATACAGTGTGCACATCGTTTCTTTGTGGAAGTCATAAAACGGGATAGAGTGAATGGATGTCAGTTGGTCGAGTGTGATACGTAGGTAGAAAGAAAGGGGTTTCTAGAGTTCGTTCAGATATGTAACACCTCTACATATCAGACGATATCAGAGGTCATGATTCTCTACTGCAGCAATGGCGCAGGTTGATTTTTCACTTTTTGTAGAAAATCAAGATAACATTCCGTGTGCAACCTGGTGGGGTATCACGTGATAAATACTGCCATCTAAAATGAGATTCATAATGTTTACCAAATTTTGTGTATTTAGTTTGAAACATTGTCTAATGTATTCCCGCTCAGACATACTCATATAAACGATTTTGAACCCCTATATGTGTTATATTTGCTTCCATGTCCTGAGAAATATCCAGGCCTTGTACCAGACTAAACGTTTCCATAATCACTGCTTTATTATATGCTATAGCTTATTTCTTCCTCTTTTTTTTACTCATCAGGAGCATCCTAGAAATGCTACTTTAAATCGTTTTCCTTCCCGAACTTTGTAAGTTCTATTTAACCCCAGGAGTCATATTTCAATAATCCATACAAAATTACACAGTTCTCGTCTGTCTTGCTTTATAATGTGTTCTCATCTCGCGAGACCAGCTATGCCAATCTTAAATTCTCTTTCTCACAGCGCTCTGCTCAGTGACTAGACTGGGCGCCTATAATTGCCTATGACACTAATATGCTGAAAATGGCCTCCCGCGGACGTTTGACCCTGAATAAAAAAAAGGAGAAAAAAATTATATATATATATATATATATATATATATATATATATATATATATATATATATATATATATATGCATGGATGATATCGAGAGTAGCGTGGCAATTATTGTTATTATTATTGCTTCATCTGCCAAAACACCGTGAAAGTCTTCAGGCTATGCATGTCTGTTGGCGAAAAACTAGCATATGCATATGAAAGAAAATGGCGGACGCTATTTTTACAGAAAACTACAAACAAAGGCAAGCAGAACAATAAATATATTTATTTCCACTATTATCGTTATTGCCACATTGGCACTGGTTCTAGTCAGTCCTTCGATCTACAATATTCACTGTTCAAAACTCCATGACACATTCGCAGCCATTTCAATTCCCTGCTATACACAAAAGTATCACTAATTCCGTTACCATTTCTATCATTTTAACCACCATAAGCTTAACCACTAGGCTTAACAATCACCTCTACTCGAAAGCCCTACACGTCAACACTGCTATGATCTCTACCGCTTAGCTATCAAAACAAAAACACTGTCAACGCAAAATAGCATCTTATTTCAATCCTTAATACAATTTGCATAGTCCCCAACACAACAACAACGTTCCAAGGACCCAACACTAGAAATATTCACAATACGAAGACAAAACTCAAATCTCAGACATGACAATAAATTTTAATCAATATCCTTACACTACTGCTAATAATAATAATAATAATAATAAGAAGAAGAAGAAGAAGAAGAGGAGAAGAAGAAGATTGATATTAATGGTGATTAGCCGTAAAAGTCTAAATTATATGTATTTACTAATAAAATTTTAAATGAAGAATCCTGTATTTTTCAACTCGAGTTCCTTAGACACTCAGTGCTAAGAGGAAAGTCAGGCAAAGATACTCCAGACAAATCAAGACTACAATAGAATTTTTAACCAATTTTTTAAGGCAGTCAAGCCAATAAGTTACAAGCGGTTCCTGAGAGTGAAAGAAAAAAAGAGTAATCAAGATGACAGTAGATAACGATTGACATTGCATTTAAATTTTTGAAGATCAAATTTGGCTATAAAGCATGAAGCCGGAAGTGTCTTTTCTGCTGTTCAACACATTCTAGGGAGCCGCCAAGAATCATTATAAATAAACATGCAAGATACTAAACGTTGGTTCATTCTACCAGCAAACAGCAGGTTAGCTTCTTTGAGATCACGCCTCATTACGAGCATAGACAATGACATGTCTGCTGCAATCAGACGTGTCGTTCTGGTAGAGCCAGAATAAGTGATTTCATTGGGCTATAGCGGCAGAGCAGATGATTAACTCGATTAAATTTGGTATTTCCTACCTGGGATGAAAGGATAGATGCCGGTAGTCACACTGTTGGAGCCACCAGACGCGCATTTTTGATCAGGAAGATTAAAAACTTCATTCCAAGGAAAGACACGGAGGAAATCACAGAACACGTCTCAATCTGCTCGTTGATAGCAGAAAGCTGGTTCGTTGCGGATCGGAAGGAAATGTTTAAAACACAACCGACTGATTTTTCAAAGAAGTCAGACCTGTGTAGTACGAGAAATGACAAGGATAGACGTAAAAAAGAGATCGAGAAGAGAAGAATGTCCATCAGGTTTACTGGGGAGGTCGACCACTTGCGAGAGAGATTGAAGGATTGCGAAATTAAGGGTTTGAATGCCAGCGAGCTCAATTACAAAATGTTTAAGCCACCTGGTATGGTGGACGTTAATATCACAGAACAGAAATATATTTGCGTACATTTTGGTGTAAGGAGATAGTCTTGCCAGAAATACTATCTTGCACACAACAGTCTTGAGAGGAAGGAAAGGTAGAGAAAAAAAGCAAAGCTGACTGAGAGAGAGAGAGAGAGAGAGAGAGAGAGAGAGAGAGAGAGAGAGAGAGAAAGAGAGACAGAGACAGAGACACATGTAAGAATGATCAGGAGATTCAAGAGAGTGTTTCCTAGCCAGCGGAAGATTTTCGAGGAAATAAACTACCAGGCCAAGCAATGTGGTCATTAGAATCCTTTTTAAGGAGAGGAAGGTAGCCAGGAGCCGAGTAATCAGAAGACGGGATTGATGAGTTAAGATTAGTTTCACTGAGATCTATGGTGTCCTGAGACTTTTCGAAGAGGAACGATTCCAACCTGCAGAATTTGGTACGAAAATCACGAATGTTAGGGAAAGAAAGATTAAGGGGTTTAGGCTTTCTTGTTGAGCTGATTGAGGATTATATATTTCTTTATAGACATGATGTGTTGTATTGATAATGAAATGCCTCAGGTAATAGTAGCAGTTCGTCGTCTAATGTAACATATGTAGGAAGAGAACTGGCGCAGACTGCAAAATAGTGTGGCCACGGGGTTGCCGACCGGAGTTGCTTGAAGGGGCACAAATCCGATCAGTGTAACGTCTCAAATCACTACGAAAGATTTCGGGCCCCTAACTACCAGTCGGGAGCAGAAACCAGAGGTCTGCAAACCCTCAGAATGAATAGAGGTTGTCACCATCCATACATATCACAAATATATCTTGAGATATTAAATCACGAGAGAAGGAAAGGAAAAGGGAACCCCTTCCTAAAGAAAAAAAGGGATGAGTCTCTACTTCTGTTTAAGAGAAAGAGGAGAAATATGGATCGGGCGATAGGAAAACCTACCTACTCCTATTAAAAAAGGAATTAGTATGTTCTGGTTTAGTTAAAGTCGAGATGCCCATTAGAAATTCAGCAAAGAGTGAAAAATGTCAGACATCTTTCCTCTGGAAGAACTTTAGGAGAAGACAAATGCTCCTGAGTTAAGTTATAACAAAATATGGACACTCTGATAAATTATAAATTTGGATAGTTGACCTGTGACCCACAGAAATTATAGACTATGCCATGTTTAACTGACATTAAGAGGGAGAGGTAGAAACAGGAATACGCAGTGGGGGGTCCCTAGGATCGTAGATGCACAGTAAAAAAAGGGAAATAAAAATATTTTACAAAAACAGGATTGCCGCTAAATGTTAGAATTAATTGTAGTCAAGATGATGAACAATTCAAACGTAGGAATTCCACTCAAATTTAAACACTAGGATACCACCGAATCATCGGTTAGAAAAGGAAAACAAACAAAAAAAATAAGACGTAGGGAAGCAACAGAAAATAAAAGAAAAAAAATTAAATGACCAGGTCAAAAAAAAAAAAAAAGAATTAAAAATTGAAGTCAACTACCTCTGAAAGAACTTTAACAAGACAACAGATAATCGTGGGTGGACTTCAGTTTATTTCACTCAAATTTAAACACTCGGGTACCACGGAATCATCGGTTAGAAATGAAAAACAAAAAAATAATAATAAGTAGGGAAGCGACGGAAAATGAAAGAAAAACAAATAAATGACCAGGTCAAAAAAAAAAAAAAAAAAAAATAGAATTAAAAATTGAAGTCAGCCACCTCTGAAAGATCTTTAACAAGAAAACAGATAAACCTGGGTGGACATCAATTTATTTTATAACAAAAAATAGACAGTGTGATAACATATATTTGTATATTCGACCACCGACCTACAGAAACTATTGACCACACCAAATTTAACTAACATTAAAATTCAAATTACGTAACGGTTATTCCATAATCGGCACCTGAAGATTGCGATGTTCGTGAAACTCCAAGACTTCTAGCGGGGTGGGATAATATGTATATTTATTGATATATACTTAACAGTTCTATTACATCAATATTGTTTTATTATCACCAACATTATATATACAACATATTATATATTATATTTACATTTTGCACTTTTTAGTTAAGCACAATTATAGGTGTAATACAATATTTATACTTTATATCATACGTATTGCTGGAATATGGAATCAATTATCTTGGACTAGTCCACAAAAAAAAAAATCATGGTTCCTGTTAAAAGATCTTGTAACCTGAACTTTTAAACAAGATCCAGAACGTTATCAAAAAATGAGGCGAAAACCACTTTTTCTATGAATACAAGAACGAGTATAACAACTTGACAATGTTTATGGATTCAGTTCACCAAAAAAAAAACAACATGCGACAATCTGTTATTGAATTTCGAAAAAAAGATCTATTCTCGGTTACAGACAAAATTAAATTCGCTAATATTACTAAAGATCTACAGCAAAAAATGCTATAGGACGTTGTTATGATAAAAATAATATCGGACAAAATAGTCCTCAAAGCAGATAAGGCGGTTACAAAGTTTGATATGTACCATAAAGCCATTAACAAAAAAATAAAAATAAAAAAGTAATAAGATTCATTAAAAGGTAGCAGGTAACTGGGAAAATAACTTCAAGAGTGAAGTCAAGAAAATAGCCACTGAACTAATGATCAATGATAGGATTAAAAAAATAAAAATCAACACAAGAATTCATCACAGTTCATAAGACAAATTTTCTAAACAAACCTCAATACCGATGACTCAACACAACTAAAAATAATATCGTTAAAATAAGCAAAGCCATCCTTGAAAGAGCATGCAAATATAATTCTCAGGGAATTAACCAGTGGTATAAAACAGTTAAAGCTAAAGAATGGTTTACTAATATGAAAAGGAAGAATTAATATACATTCATCCAATTCAATATTTGTGACTTTCACCCGCTATAAAACCAGAAATAAATTACTGTCAGATTAGCGATCGCGAAATAAATATCATAAAGCAGGCAGAAAACCTAGCATATTCCATAATGGTTATTTGTGAACCAAAAGAAGTAACCATAATTTAGTATTGCTATGGGAGCGTA